AATTAGATTGTATAATTTCGAAATTTGAAGCAAAAACAGAATGGTTTGACTTCAGTTTTGTGAAACTATGCATAAAAAATATCTGCATGAAACCGAAACAGCAACCGCAGATGAGCTGAATGAGACGCAGATTCACTCTCTGCCAGCAGGTGGCGCTTAAAAGTGTTTCCTTGGTTTCCGCTTTAAACAAAGCAGCGCTGCATTTATGAACTTTAATATGCATTATACAGAGGCAAGAGGAAAAGAAAAAATACCATCGAAAGACAGTAGGTTCCCCTCAGACATACATTCATATAAACTCCTACCCCTAATTGAATCGCGATTTGTTTAGCATCTCAACCGATTTGAATCGTCACATATTTAAATCGATTTTCAACCGGCTCGAGGTTAATCGTTACATCCCTAATTACTACTTCTACATAGAGGCCCTCAACATATGCCCTAGTAAATACTAAAAAAGACCTCACAAATGGCTGGTGTAAACACTAGTAGCCAATGTCTGCTTGGTCACTTATGTTTACATACCACAGGGTATTAGTGGTGTTGATGCAAAGACAATTATCAAAAATGTGAAATGTTGAGCAAAGCTCCGGACTCACAGACACTCTAAAGGCTACAAGTACAAACATGCAGGACATAGCATAGCTATTACTGAAGTATTACTTAAGTATGCTTGAGAAGCCAGAAGTATAGTAGCATAGGAACCTAGAAATGTGTGCATGGAGTTATGATCTAAAAACCTTTATAAAACTATATTCAAGTAAAAAAAAAAAAAAAGAAAGATGTTTGCCACTTTCTGTTCCCAGTGCACAACTGAGAAGGAACAAGCAGCATCTATTGACATTTAGGAAACATAGCTTCACTCTTTATACCTGAACTGTTTTCTTGATTCTATGCGAAGGTCCAGGATATTCTCCAGAGTACAGATTAGTCAGGAACAGAGAGTTTATCAGCGTGGACTTTCCCAACCCTGACTCTCCTGAAAAAAAGGACAGAAAATACAGAGAAACATAAGGTTAAAATGATACCTGAATTCAGAGCAACATAAAAAATTGATTTACTGAAGGAAATACCACTGCTTGCAAGACCGCAAAAGTATAAGGTTTGAGTTTTAGTTAAATTATGGGTTAGGAAGATTTATTTTTTATTTATTTTATTTAGCAAGGATGCATTAAATTAATGCAATTTTAAAAGTTAAAGTCAAAGTAAAGACATTTACAATGTTACAAAATATTTATAATTGAAATAAATGCTGTTCTTTTAAACTTTCTCTTCACCGAATCCTGAAAAGAAATATCACCGTTTTAATAAAAAATATTGAGTAGTTTTCAACATTGATAATAATAAGAAAATTCTAATAAATGCAACCTTGATGATCATAAGAGACTTCTTTCAAAAGCATTGCTTTTTTTTTTTTTTTTTTAAACAAAATTTTTAAACAGCACTGTATAAAATCAGTAGACATGACAATCAGGACTAGAAGACTAGAGAATATTTCATTACCAACATAATGAAGTACAGACAAATATGAAATACAAGACTCTCAAGATGCATTTTCCTCAAAAGCATTGCTTTTTTTTTTTTTTTTTTAAACCAAACTTTTAAACAGCACTGTATAAAATCAGTAGACATGACAATCAGGACTAGAAGACTAGAGAATATTTCATTACCAACATAATGAAGTACAGACAAATATGAAATACAAGACTCTCAAGATGCATTTTCCTAAGTTAAATAGTGCTTGACAGATATGGGCTTTGAACCAGCGGATGCAGACACAATATCTAGAAAGCAGGGTGATTTATTACTATTTATTGACAAAATTGTTTATTATTTGACAAAATATTTACTCACGATTTGTAAAAATAATTTTGGTAGATTTTAAAAGAACAAAAGAGGGGAAAATGTAGCACTTAATCTCAAAATTGCTATTTAATGGCTGATTTATGCACTCCTCTAGCATTACATTTAAAATCGTAAAAAATGTGACATTCATGGCATGAGACAGTGGCCAAAAACATCCATCTGATGCATGAGTAAATAGACAAACAATTAAAATAATAGTGCAGATGGAATGCAAGGACATGCCCTGTGTGAACCTCCTCTAAATGTATTACGTCAATGCTGGAGGGAACGGCATTTTTTGCATCCAATCTAAATGATTGTCTAAGAACCCAAAGAACCTCATGGGCGAACAGTGGAAATAACCTCAAGCAGCTTTTTGGCAGTTCTTTAGTAAATATGTTAATTGACAAGATGTGACTAAGTGAACTTCATTCTAAATACTTACTGCTAATTGTTTTGGAAATTCAAACATGACCGACTCAATACCTCTCCATCGGTGTGATGATGCTTCATTATTATGTATTTAGCATTAGTGTGAATACAGAGCAACTAACTAAGAGAGCGCAGCATTCATCTGTGCGGTCTCACACAGTGAGGTCAGCACATTAACTAGAGTAAATTGCTTCTGGCAGGGCAAGTGGCTGGCACCATTACAGACTTGGCTGTTTTCCATACCCAAACACTAATGCAAGAACACCTGGGTAAAGTCCACCCGCACAGTCCAGCTAATTTGTATAAAAAATCAGCAAGAGAAAGCACTATAAAACTTCATTAATGATTCATGATTCATTAATAATAAGTTAAATATTGGGATATTATGTGATGAAAAAGTTTAAACCATCTATCAAATCTAACCAAAGACAATATTTTGCAACTATAAAGACCACAAATAATGTCTTGAACATGCCTTTCACTTGAGACCGAAAATAACTCAAGCACGCACAACCACAAGTCCTCAGGTCAGATTCATAAATGCAGTGGATGTCGGGTACAAAACCGCAGCTCACATGCAAAGCCAAAGCAAACACCACTCCGTAAGCTTTCACAGCAAATTCTAGCAAAAACAGGGCAGATCCCATATCACCGCAAACTTGATTAAGCGTAAAAGAATCAAATTCAGAACTATGCTTTGTAAAATGTCAGCCATTTAGGTGTTCTTCACTGAAGTCTTTGCATTTTTCAAGATGAACAGGATGTGAAATCACTGCTATTCAACCCCTGCTTCCTGTGTGTTATCCAAACAGTGTTTAGACCAAATGTCAAGAATGTAGTCTCAAACTGGCAAACATTCAAAACTAGACCAGAAGCTTCTCAAGCGGTCATAATGACTGCAGCACACACTGAATCCATCACAAGCAATGTGTCACTAAATTAGTTACACGTTGAGAGTAGTTTGGTATTTGCAAACTGCATACCGAAGGTTATAAAGCAGATCAAAATCAATACATTCAAAGAATACATTTCCTTACCCACAACCATCAGGGTGAACTCAAAGCCCCGCTTCACAGACTTTCTGTACACTTGGTTGGGGAGGCTTGCAAAGCCCACGTATCCCTCCAGATTCTTCTGTTGCTGAAAACAGACAGAAAAACACTTTTTTGATCAGAGAAATTTGCTGGTATATGCTCACAGAGAATAACACACACAATGTAAATAGGTGATAATGTGCTATTCTCCCAGTATTAGTCATACTTACTGCTGTGTATTTGAATCCCAGAAATGCATGGCATTGGTTAAGGGTGATGGGGAGCAAAACGAAGATGTCAGAAGAGATGTTTGGCATGTCCAAAGTTCAGCATACAACAGCATTTTTGGACAAAGAGGGAGAGGGGAAAAAAGCACAAAAATGTATGACATATACGCAGGCTCCAAATGCTTGAAATTGCTTTGGAAAGTAAAAAAAATAAAATAAAATAAAAAAGGCAACAAGGTTTAAGCTGAACTGATAGAGTGAAAGTCAGAGGCTCAATGAAGCAAGTGACTCAAACATATACAAACATCTACTGAATAACGTTTATCTAGGACTGCAGTCTTCAAACCAGAAGACTGCATTTAAAAATAAATAAATAATAAAATTAAAAAGGTAATTAATTTAAATAAAATAAAATAAATAATTTAGCTAAAATAAATTAAACAAAGATTTAAATAAATAGTTCTTTCAACAGTACAGTAGTACAAGTAGAAAAAACATAACACGAACTATAACAGAACAAAGTTGAAACTAAAAATATTCCAAATAATATTTTGTGCATATTTATTATATCAATGTTCTTTATACATTAAACTTTTTAGCTTGCTTTTAAATATTAGGATGGGCTCTGTTGCACCAGGATGATCATATTTGGCATGAAAAAAACTGAAAACCACTGATCTATGATGTTTAAAGATTTTTTTTTTACCCTCCAGTACTATGTGGCAACACGTGGAATAATTCCTCACATTAAGTCACCAAAACAAAAATATGAGGAATAAATATAAATCACAACATTTATGCAAAGTATCACAGAAAGCCTGAAATGTGCTCGTATGATGCTGAGTGACATAATGAACTGCATTTACTTTTCTCACGATCCTAAAAACACTTCCATCTAAAGACTTATGCTTAAATGCATGAAATTAGTTTTACACACAGCTATGCTTACATATTAATTCTGTTATATATGAATTTTAGAAAAAGCATGGATACATTTGAAGAAGCTCAAATAACTTTCATTTGTGCAGCTAATATTTTTGGTCAAGACAATTCCCACTGATGCCTAAAATGTGGAAAATAGAAACAATAAAGAATGAGTAGGTGTGTCCAAACTCTGACTAAAACTGCATGCATGAATCATGAAATAACAGCAAAATGTGAACCGATTAGGGTTTCCGATAAGTGCCTGACAGCTGAATTCTCTTTCATTTAATCACAACTACTGGAAAGTCAAACAAAAGCAATATTTTGAACATAAACCACACAAGTGTCAAGATGGTGCGACCGTTAACATGCTGATTAATGTGCGGCACTACATGAGAAGTAATGGTGCAGAATATGAGATGCTTGAAAGCACAATCAGAGGTCACAAAACAAAGACATGTGGTTACACTCGGCTGCATCCTTTAATGTCACCAGCATCATTTATTGTGCATGATCCCTTGGTTTCTTTAAGAGTCATGACCACCCTTTACAGTATTATTTTAATTAGTCTGAGTGATATACACAAACCTCACGCACTCAGAATATGTAACGAGAAGCCAAACAGAGCAGAAGTAACACTAATACAAAGCCAAATACTAAAGCCACACAGTTGAAAGTAAAATACACAAACTCGTTGTCAGACCAGAGGCCTGTACCATGAAGCCGGTTCAGCTGGCTAGCGATGTCAACGATTAATCGATGATCGATTAATTGTCGATAAGAGATGCAGTCGATTAAAGCTATCGATGGTCGATTAAGTCGTTTAATTTGGGGCTGCGTGTGGCTCATGCGCAAAACACGTGCGAGCGGCTGTGAGTGACGGTATATAAATGCATCATCATTC